TATATTAACCACACATGTTGCTGTTTAAACATGGTTGAAACCTACATAGTCAATTGAAGTAAATTCACACGGTTTTGAAAAACATAAAATATGGTTGGTACATTTATTATTAGCAAAAGTGTGGTGAGCTAATGGTTAGCATTTGAAATTGGTTTTATTGTGTTCCTAATTTAATGCCTTTTAGAAAGAGAGGTATTCTAAAAAAATAGATTAAAAGCTAATTATGAGTCTACAGATTTAGGATTTTGATCCAAACTCCGAAATTATAAAAAAAAAATATTTCTTATTTCCAAATATTATTTCAAGGTCAAAAAGCCACGTATACATGTGTATATGCTAAGGTATATTTAGTGTATATGAGATTTTATAAATCTTATCAATCCATGTGGGGAACCAATACAGAAAAACATAACTAAGATGGGACCACTAGTTAAATTATATTTTACCACAAAAATTAATAAGGTCGGTTTGAATAAAAACAAAAACAGTTGACTTGACTCAAATCAAGGTAGGAATTTTCTTTCGTTCTAATCCGAATAATCGACTTCTTGTGTGTTTTAAAATGACAATCGCTATTTTGAACTGAATACATTCATAATGAATATTCCAATATTCTCATTATTTAAGATAATAACGATGTTCGGTGCTATAAATTGGTCATATGCTTGAATGTTTTATAATGGTGTAATATGATTAGACAATATGATAAGAGAAAATGCGACACAATAAGGTTTTTCCAGCTGCATATACATCTAATGAGAAAGGCCAGTGCTTTCTCTAGTTTCCTTTTGTTTTGTTAGAAATCATGACACAAGAAAATGTTTAGAAGATCTAACTCACTCTAGATTCTCTTTTTGATAGGTAGCCTAAGTGCTTTTAAGCATTTGGTTCATTAATAAATATCTATGGTATAATATGATTATATATATTTTGGGACCTAAGAATAACAAAAGAACTTTTATAAAAACAAAAAAAAATAACAAAAGAATCTATTCACATAAATGACAGTCTTAAAATAGCAATATAAGTCTATTTCTGGCAATTCTGACACCTGGAAAATCACTCATTAAAAAAAATGTGATATATACCATATAATCTGATAGATCGTTTTAATCATTTAAAACATGAAAATGTTTTTTATATCTGCTATAGACCAATATAAAATTAATAGAATAGTTATTATTAGATAACAGTGATACTCTCTGAAAGTTTCAACCTATAATATTTTAATACTTT